CACACACACACACATACACACACACACACACACACACATATATATATACATATATATATATATATATATATATATATATATATATATATATATATATATATATATATATATATATATATGCGCATACACTCATATACATACGCATATACATATCTATATATATACATATACACACATATACATATATATGTATATATACACATATGTGTATGTGGGGCGCGCGTGTGTGTGTGTTGTGTGTGTGTGTGTGTGTGTGGTGTGTGTGTGTGTGTGTGTGTGTGTGTGTGTGTGTGTGTGTGTGTGTGTGTGTGCCAGATATATATATATATGTGTATATTTGTACATATATAATTTATGTATATATATGTGCGTGTGTGTGTTTGCATCCGTGTATATAATACATGTATATACATATATATATGTATGTTTGTGTATATACATATACATATATATATATATATACACACATACATGTATATATATATATATATATATATATATATATATATACATACACACACACACACACACACACACACACACACACACACACACACACACACACATATATATATATATATATATATATATATATATATATATATATATATATATATATATATATATACATATATGTGCGCTTGCAAAAGTGTGTATATTATACATATACATACATATATATATATATATATATAATAATATTATATATACATGTATATGTATACACACACACACACACACACACACACACACACACACACACACACACACACACACACACACACATATATATATATATATATATATATATATATATTATATATTTTATATCTGTGTGTGTGTGTGTGTGTGTGTGTGTGTGTTGTGTATGTGTATAGATAATATAATATGTATATGTATATACACATTTATATATATAATCTTAAGTACAGTACACACATACACATTTTTATTGTATGTATGTGTTTATGCATGTATAATGTATCTGTTTATATATATATATATGTATATATAATATATATATATATATATATATATATATATATATATATATATGCACACACATCACACACACACACACACACACACAACACACACACACACACACACACACACACAACACAACACAACACATATATTATATATATATATATATATATATATATATTTATATATATATATTCTGTGTATGTGTGATATATTTACATACATACATATACATGAATATACATTCATATACATGAATATATATATGTATATGAAAAAAACATAAATACACAAATTATATTTAAACACACGCATATTGATGCTGTGAGAATTAGTCGCAGTAGCCAATGCCAAACATTCGGACACGCTTGAAGCACAGCTGCATGTAGAATGTAAATCAATTGTATTGTACGCATGTACTTCGTTTGTTTTATTTAATGACTTTGAATTTAATACATATTTCAACGTACTATAACACTTTAGAAGATGTTATTAATATAACAAAACCAAGGCATCAGATATGTAAAGCTTTTAAACCACGAGAACGGGAAGATATATTTTTCAATGGAAGTTATTTGTAGCTCAAGGTTAACACATTTTTGACGGTTTCATTTGATTGATACTATTTTGACAATAATCTGGACATAATCATAAATAGATCTTATACTAAAAAAAACAAACATCGTGTGTATTTGTAGGAGTATGTAATCAAAACAAATCTAATCATAGAAAATGGACAGTTAATATACTCTAGGGCTTTTAGGGGTAACTTAGGCTTCATGGAAATATGAATACAGCACATCCCGTTTCCATAACGGTTTGGTATTTCCATAAATGGACTCACTTGGAAATACATCCAATACTTACGATGGTAACTGTATAGCTGTTTCAGAATTTCGTAAATCAATAATCAAACATAAGTTCGCGTTTGTGTTCGAATGATTTTATCATTACCATTATTTTTTCAGCATGAATATATGATTGCTACTTTTCCTTTAATTCATCTATTACCTTTATTGCTATTGCTAATATTGCTATAATCATTTGTCATTGCTACTGATGATGATTATATGATGTGATGTCGGTAATCATAATAAAATGCTGATAATATGCTAATGATCAACGACAATGCTGATGCTAATAATGATAATGATAGTAACATTGGTAATGATAATGATGACAATAGAAATGATACTGATAATAATGATGATAATAATGATGATAATAATAGTAATAATAATAATAATGATAACAATAATAATGATGATGATGGTGATAATAATAATAATAATAATAATAATAATAATAATAATAATAATAATAACATAATGATTATGATAACAACCACAACAACAACAACAATAATAATGATAATAACAGTATTGATAATAATGATTATAATATAAGAACAATAAAAACAACAACAAAAACAACAAAATTTATAATAATAATAATGATAATGATGGTAATGATAATATTAATATAAAAATGATAATAAGATAATAACCA